GAAACTGTGGCCGTTTCTATGTCTTTTACATAAGTGGCACTCCTGTATGTCACCTGCGTTACCGCGGCACATCTTATCAATTATCCTGCTCAGATATTTATGTTAGAAATGTCTCAGTTATAATCAATATAAGTATAATTTCAGAGCTGAGCAAAGAGTTTCCAGCAATCTGATTGGTCGAGCGGTTCCCTATATGACACTATATAAACCGCTCCACGTGGTTTACATAAAATGTTAAAACAAAATGTTAATCAATGTTACTAAAATGTTATGATTTTAGAAATTTCTGTGTTGTTCAGCTCTGAAATTATACTAAATCAATTATTCACCTCAGGTTCGGTGAATATTGTCGAATAATCCCCTGGACTTAGTCTCGGGGATTATTCGACGATATTCACCGAACTTGAGGCGAATAATTGTTAAATATTCATTTTGCCTGAGTCGAATAATTGTTAGACGATAGATCCAAAATGGCGCCCACAGGAAAATCAGACATCAATATTGCTTGTATGTGTTTTCAGAGTTTAGAAGTTTTGGTTTTATCCAATTTTTCTAACTAAACCACATTTTGATGACTTTCTTTCATACTGAATGCTGCATACTGAGAAAGACTTGTTCCGTGTTTACTTTTTTATATGACCCATTGCAGCTGTTATATGCGCAGATCTGCGAAGAAAAATTATGACTAAGGAGTATCGATCAACCTGTCTCGAGCCTAAAATGAAAAAGGATTTATTCGATAGCGACCACATTATCTTTGAAATCCTTAAATAAACTCTTCAACGATTGCTCGGAATGACTGGGGAGGCATGACTACTTCAAGGCCTCTAATCGGTGAAATGAGTTCGAGATGATTTCATAACCGCTAATCTAGACTGAACAGAGTCTCTGGGACACCGAAAAGGTGACATATGCGAAAATACTTATTAGAACATAGCTGGCAGTGTCGCGCAATCGAATTCATTATACGTAATCGTGCTCAAAATCCCGATAGTGCACGCTGATAGCGTCAGCAAATCCGACTTCGCCAGAAATTTTTTTTTTTCGCGCGAGCGGCCATTATTAGCGCGGGGAAAAATAATATATTTCGCGACAATAATGGATACAAACAGA